CCCCCAAAAAACAACTCCCCCTCCCCCCGACCCCCCCAGCAGAGCCGGGGGGGGCCGCCCCTTTCGTGGAGATCCTGGAGCAGCCGAAGCAGCGTGGGATGCGCTTCAGGTACAAATGCGAGGGGCGGTCGGCCGGGAGCATCCCTGGGGAGCACAGCACTGACAGCGCCCGCACCCACCCCACCATCAGGGTGAGTCCCAGTACAAACCAGTATGAACCAGTACGGGTCGTCGTGGGGGGGAGATGGGGGTTGTGGGGCCATACGGGGGGATGGGATTTGGGATCGGCACGAAATAACGCCCCAGAGCTTCTTCTTGGTGGTCCTAAATGCACAGGGAACAGCATTGTGTTATCTGCTTGAGTCCCAGTATGGACCAGTTTGACCAGTATAGGTCAATGTGCATCAGTATGGACCAGTATGGGGTTGTTTAGGGTTGTCTGTGTCAGAAGCCCACCCCCAAATCCCTCCCCAGAGCCCCTCTTGGTGGGCCTTAGGCCAAAGAGAATGGCATCGTGTTATCTGCTTGAGTCCCAGTATGGACCAGTTTGACCAGTATAGATCAGTATAGACCAGTATGGATCAGTGTGAACCAGTATGGGGTTGTTTAGGGTTGTAAGCATTGGGAGTCCAACCCCAAATCCCTCCCCAGAGCCCCTCTTGGTGGTCCTAAATGCAGAGAGGATAGCACTGTGTTACCTGCTTGAGTCCCACTATGGACCAGTTTGACCAGTATAGATCAGTATGGACCAACATGGAGCAGTATGGACCAGTATGGGATTGTTTAGGGTTGTAGGTGTCAGAAGTCCACCCCCAAATCCCTCCCCAGAGCCCCTCTTGGTGGTCCTAAATGCAGGAAATGGGGCAGCTTAGCGCGTAAATCAGCTCTAGTATGAAATAGTTAGGCCAGTATAGACCAGTATAAATCAACATGGCCCAGTATGGACCAGTATACACCAGTACAGACCATTATGGGGCTGCGTAGGGCTGTGTGCATCGGCAGCTGCCCCCAAATCCCACCCCAAATCCCTTCCACGTGGCCCCAAACCCAGAGAGGACAGCACTGCGCAGTCTGCTTCGGTCCCAGTATGCACCAGTATAAACCAGTATGGGCTGCCATGGGGGCTGTGGGGCCGTATGGGGGGATGGGATTTGGGACTGGCCCTAAATAACGGCCCTAAATCCAGAGGGAACAGCCAGTCCATCATCCCAGTCCATCCCAGTCCTCCCAGTCCAACCAGTCCACCATCCCAGTCCAACCAGTCCATCCCAGTCCGTCCCAGTCCATCCCAGTTCTTCCATCATCCCAGTCCATCCCAGTCCATCCCAGTTCTTCCATCATCCCAGTCCATCCCAGTCCAACCAGTTCATCATCCCATTCCATCCCAGTCCATCCCAGTCCATTGTAGTTCAACCCAGTCCATCCCAGTCCTCCCAGTCCAACCAGTCCATCATCCCAGTCCACCCCAATCCACCATCCCAGTCCATCCCAGTCCATTATCCCAATCCATCCTAGTCCTTCCCAGTCCTTCCCAGTCCACCATCCTAGTCAATCCCAGTCCACCCCAGTCCATCCCAGTCCTTCCCAGTCCATCCCAGTCCAACCAGTCCACCATCCCAGTCTGTCCCAGTCCATCCCAGTTCAACCAGTCTACCATCCCAGTCCATCCCAGTCCATCATTCTGGTTCATCCCATTCCATTCCAGTTTCTCCCAGTCCATCCCAGTCCAACCAGTCCATCATCCCATTCCATCCCAGTCCATCCCAGTCCATCCCAATCTAACCAGTCCATCACCCCAGTCATTCCCAGTCCATCCCAGTCCATCCCAGTCCATTCCAGTCCATCATCCCAGTCCATCCCAGTCCAGTCTATCCCAGTCCATCCCAGTCCAACCAGTCCACCATCCCAGTCCCTCCCAGTCCCTCCCAGTCCATCCCAGCCCAACCAGCCCATCGTCCCATTCCATCCCAGTTCCTCCCAGTCCGTCCCAGTCTCACCAGTTCCCCCCATACAGGTGAACCATTACCGGGGTCCGGGCCGCGTCCGCGTCTCCCTGGTGACGAAGGACCCCCCCCACCGCCCCCACCCCCACGAGTTGGTGGGCCGCCATTGCCAGCACGGCTACTATGAGGCCGAGCTCAGCCCCGAGCGCTGCGTGCACAGGTGACCCCCTCATTAATTAATTAAGTCCTTAATTGGACCCCCAACAACCCCCCCCCCAATAATTAAGTCATTAATGTGACCCCCAACCCCACCCCCCCAACATTACCAGCACGGCTACTATGAGCTACC